AAAAAAAAAAAAAAAAAGGATAGCTATGAAGATGATATATGTAATATAAAAGATACTGATGTTCAGGTTCATTTCATGGTGGATTGAACGCATGCATCTTAATTTTTTTTTGTTATCATTAATCTACAATTAGATGAGGAACATTATGTTTACGAGGCTCCCCCTTCATTACTGTCACTGTCCATCAGCACATGCATCTTAATTTTACACTTCCTATTGAAATCACATTAAAATTATATTAAATAAATTTCATATAAGGACAAACCTAGAGATACCAGGAAAGTGGTCAAAAAGCAACATTTTGGGTGTTGTTAACCTGAAAGCTGACTCTGAAGCAGTAGTCTTCAGATTCCTAAGAGGGTTCTGGAACTAACAGCCCTAGATATCTCTGAATCTGGGGGTTTAGAGGCATGTTAAAATAAAGAGGACTGCATGAAATACATCTGTAGTTAAACTCCTAGATCCCCTCCCCAATTCCACAGTGTTGGTAACTGCCCCTCGTGCGCCTCAGCCAAAGCCTAGGGGAGTCTCTGAAACTAGGAGAAACAAAGTAGCTTATTCTCTAGTCTGGGCAACATCTGGTACTTCCAAGCAAGTGGCTGTCACGCTGATAAAAGGGGTATGAAGTGATCACATATGAATAAAATGTTACATACTGAGATCCACCCTCACCCAGCCCTCTTCTCCACAACTCCTAGTTGGCTTTACCACCAAGCAGATTAGAAGAATTCCTTCTGGAGAATGACTAACTTGAGAGCAAAAATCTAATGATACTAGTACCAGGTTCCCCAACAAATCCAGATTACTTGACACTGAAATGCACAGGCCCCACCCATATGTTCAACACTTAACATCAAGTTTTTAGTTTCTCTACACTAATCATGAGCAGAAATCCAAGAAATACCAGACCCGGGAAAACCTCTAATTAGGAATGTAAAGACCAAAATAAAGAAACAGAGGAATCCTCACCAGAGAGAGAGAGAAAAATATTAATGTTTTCTGAACACTAAAAAGAAAATATTTGTAGAATACAAATGACAGCTGGTGAAATATTAAGATTAGATGAAAAGTTAATGGGTTTCTTTATTAATTCCTATCTGCTTCTTAGTAGGCTTTATTTCAATCCACTTCACTTTTAAACCCCCAATAATCACTGTAAGCCTAAGCAAAGAATGAAATGTGGTTTTGATTTTGAAATGCTTAAAAGTAAATACTACAGGCAAAATACTTTTTATTTAAATTACTTTTTATTTAAATTACTTTATTTAAATTCAGGTAAACAATTTATATGAATCAAGGGACCTTTTAGTCTACACTTTCACTACCTTCAATGGCATCAAAATCCTCAATTTCTATAGAAACATACTTTCTACCATCAATTTTGAAATCCCATACTAATGTAAAATACTGCCAATAGTAATTCAAAGGATATACATAATCCCACAGTAGTAATATTTGACATATATAGGTTTTGAACCTGATTTGCTTTTTAAATTAATATAACGGATTGTTAAAACAAATTAAGGTACACCAGTAAGATAAACCAGGAAGGAGAAGACTGGCTTAAAATTAAAAACTATGTATCAGTGCTTCTCAAACTTTCATGTATATATGAAACACATGGGGATCTTACTAAAAATGCAGATTCTGATCCTCTATATTTGGGACTAGGGGCTGAGATCTCCATTTCTAACAAGTTTTCACGTGATAGTGATGCTACTGGTCTTCAGATCATACTCCCCCCCACCCCAACCCCTAGTTTTACTGAGCTGTAATTGACAAAATTGTAAGATATTTAAAGTGTATATTGTGGTGAGTTGATATAAATATACACCATGAAAGGATTCCCACAAACCAGTTAATTAAGACTATGCTTTTAAAATAAGCAAGGCTAGAGATCAGGGGTCTGCAAAGTATAGCCTTTGGGCAAATCTGACCTGATTTTGTAAATAAAGTTTTTTTTACAGCCATTCCCAATCAACGTATTATCTATAGCCGCTTTCATACTACAGAGGCAAAGTTGTAGTTACAACAGAGACCTATGCCCATATAAACCAAAAATATTTGCCATCTGGCCCTTTATAGAAAATGTGTGCTGTCCTGTTACAGAAAACACCCAACATGTACTATACAATGTGGCAAGTCAAAGTAAAGCAGACATATTAATGCCTTTCCTGTTTTGGGGGGATTATACCCTTTTCTATAGGTTTTCCAGTTCTGTACACCAATGGACACCTTTTATTTTGTACAAGAAACAAGAAGACTATAGGTTTTTATTTGCATTGTGACTCCCTGCTGCCCAAGAAAATCATTACACTTTTTATAAAACTAAGAAATCCTGATCAAGAGACTAGGAATCTAATTGATAAAAAATAAAAAGCTCTGACAACATGAACAATTACAGGTATGGTTCTGACCGAATGACCTCCACAGCCAGTTTATCTCATTACTTACTCTTGTTAAGTCCATGCCCAGCTTAAGCTGTGACAAGAGATGCAGGATAACACTGCGCTGCTCTTCCACAGCTCCCAGGTCACCCTCCTTGTTGTCACATGTATCCTCTACCTCATCATCTGCATTTACGTCTTCAGGTTCCTTGAAAAACAAAGAAAAGTTTACTGTTATAAGCACTTATTAATGTCCATTAAGAAAAGTCTCTTATTGTCACTGTCTCTTTGTGCAAGAAATACTTTTTTAATATAGAAATTGCATTAAACAGCATGCTTTGTAAACAAGACAGTAATGCTAAAGGACAGACCTCACAACCACATTAAAAAAAAAGTACAAACATCAGACTTAAAGACATTTATATGGAAATGGGCAAAAACCTTTCTGAAAATGTAATTTCTATCACATGGCCACAGAACAGATTTCTTTCAATGAACTCATCATCATTAACACTGAAGAGACTTTTACCATATATATCATATAAAATGCATATATTTTGTAAAAACAGGATTTTTCAAAAAGAGTTTATAGACTGTCTTACCTGAATCTCAGGCTTTGTAAACTTTGACCACCTGCCTGGGGACACCCCTCACTATCTATAATTTAAGTTCAAGATGCTTTGAAAATAAAATATTTGTCCTTTTTAAAGCTAAAGGTATAAAAGTAAATTTTAAGTTACTATACATGAATCTACTATATCTATGTTTTGATATTCACTCATTCTTGGAGTCATCAGGAAGAAACCAGGAGGTTGAAAAGAATTCCATGTGCAAGTATGGGAATCCTATAGTTACTCAAGCAGTCTCAATGCCACAGAAAGTTCTCTGAGCTCTTCAATCTATCAATCAACCAACCAAGCAACCCCTTGAAAAACTGAAAATGATTACTTTCATCTCAACAGGGTCTTATTTCAAAGAACTGGTTAAGAGAAACTTACTTCTTATTTATTTCTATTTAAATAATAAATAACAATTACAAGTCCCAAGATTCTATGGAACCTTATGAGATGTCCCTTCCCATGTTTATATGGGTGCAGTGTCTCATCTTTCTTAGTGGTACATCTTTTCAGTGTATCTTTGTGCAACAAAGCTTTATGTGAGTATATTATCTTTGGTATTGTGTTAGATTTTAAGTGATGAGCATTTAAAAAAGGAAATGCTCAAGTGATTAATGTCTGCCTTTGGTTTCCACTTTATCTAAACATACCCTATCAAACAAGAAGCCCATTTGTTCCACATAGCCCGGCAAATGAAACCAATCCTAAAATCAAGAACTTAATGTTATCAAAATATTAAAAATAAAACATAAAACACAGTGACAGAGTTAAAAGATAATGGGTTTCTGGTCACTCTTTTGCCTTTGTTTTTCTCCATTTTCCTCTCCCCTTCTACCAAGGAAGTCTATTACTAATTCAAATTGAGTCAAGTTCATTTCCTCATGTTAAGACCACACAGACAACTATTGTTTGTACATACCAGAACTGTTTCTGTTTTTACAACCCTGAGGAGAGATACCAAAGGCTTTTTCAATTCACCTTTTCAATGACTAGTATCTGTCAGGAAGTATTTCCTGTTATCTACCCTGTATCAGTCATACAATATAGTTTAAGTATACTTACGAGTGTTTAATCCTCGTAAAGTGGAGGAAAAGTTGACATTTTCCTTTTTACATATGGATACCCAATATAATAACTATTCACTTGAGAAATGTTGAGAAAAACCTATTAGGTACTGATAAATAATGTTTTCCAACCCTCTGAAAAGGTACCATTACATCTGAGGTCAGAACCTAGGACACATTAATAATGCAAACATAGCCTTAACATTATAATACAATACAAAATTCACTTTGTGGTTTGAAACTTCTAATGAAAATATTAAATTGAAATAAAACATAATCTGGTAGAAAAACTATAAGATAGTTTTTATTGTTTTTATAAAAGTAGTCAAATCACTTAGTAAAATAGGAAAAAAAAGCAATTCTATTAACACATACTGATTCTAAACCTTGACGTAAATGGAAAATTTTGGAGGCTCCTTTCATTTCGAAATGCCTCTTCTTAGAGGCCATGTTGCCATTCTGAAAGAAAAGCTTGAGATAAAAGCCCTACCAAAATTCAAGTAAGATGTTCAAATGTATAAAAACCCTACAAACCCAGAATGGTTAGCAGATACAGTGGCAAGAACTACTGAGTTTCTAGGAATGTATTCTATTTGGACATTGGAAGGTAAAGGGAAACCCCAATATTCTACAACACTCTTACTAACCCCATTTTTGTCCTTCTGACTTCTGACAAGGGCAAAAGGAACTGTGGTCTTCATTCTAGCTTCACTAGGGTTTACTTTCTCCATCCCCTGAAAGCAAAACCTCCACTCATGTACTATATTAATTAATAATGAATACAAGTCTCCAGCTTGCATCAACACTCATATTTCAAAAAAGGCATCTGTGAAACTTGGGAAAATTCAGGTCTATTCCAGTACCTTGAATAGGGTCTAATGTCTTTTGTAATTAAAGAGATTATTTATGTGCTTATTTTTTTTCTACTTACACTAGGTGATATAGTTAGTCTACTCACTGCTTCAAAAGATTTGGAAACACAGTGATACTCTTCTCCCCCTTCTGTGCCCCATCTCTAACAAATGCCTCTATCCTGACCTCCAATATGTGTGCATTCTCACTGAGAAGAATGAAGATGGTATATGGGACTTATATTTTGTAATTTTTCACTTGCAAATTATATCTTTAGTCCTGATCTCTCTCCAAAGCTTTGGTTTCATTATTTCCAATTGCCTTTTATACATGTTTATAATCATAGATCCTCTTCTCAAATAAAATTCAGCATGTTCATAAAACCTCTTCTCTCAATAGGCTTTCTTTCTAATTTTCCTACCTTTGTGAATGGCACCACAATTCTAATCTAGTTATTTAGGCTTATAAGCTTGGGAGTCATCTTTCATCTAACTCTATACCCAATTACAAGTCCAACCAATTTTTACTTGAAATGCACATTACCTATTCATTTGTCTTCACTTCTAGTTCTATAGTTTTCTATCCACACTTTCACTCTAGGTTATACTATATACCAATCTTCATAAACATATCACATCACTCCCCATGCACATGACCTTATCATCTATTACATTAAGACTAAATTCTTATGCATGATTTTCGTGCTCATTGGGGGCACAGTCCACACTGCATTCCATGGAGTAATGCTCCAGGGATTACCACTCCATCCAAAATGCAACATGATGGTTGTCTGCATTTGTAAAGTCCAATAACCCTGTGACCATTTTCCATAAACCAAGGGCTCTGCTTAATTATTTTCTTTTTGTAACAATCCTACAAGGTATTAACCCTGCTTTACAGATGAGGAAACTGAAGCTAATGACAGGAACTGGGTTCAAAACCACCAGACAAGCCTTCTCCACAATAAACATACAGCCCTCAGTATCCCTGCCCTTCTTCCTCCATTTTAAAGTTCCCTTATAATTCCTCTTCTCTTCAGCTCCTGTCTCCTTCCAAAACCCAATTCCAATTCCAGTTCTCTCCAATGAATTTCTCATTCTACTCAATACATCTCTCTTCTTTCCCTCAATGCTCATATTTCAACAGCCTAAACCATATCAATTAAGATGAAAATAAAATGCTGCTTCATATTATCATCTCATTTTTTCAGTGTATACGGTATATATGTGCTGTGGTTCCAAGCAGATTTCAAATCTCTTCAGTGAAACAACTATGTCTTTCTATCACATGGCCAAAGAACAGATTTCTTTCAATGAACTCACCATCATTAACACTGAAGAGACTTTAACCATATACATCATATAAATGCATATATTTTGTAAAAACAGGATTTTTCAAAAAGAGTTTATAATCTGTCTCATCTGAATCTCAGGCTTTCTAGATTTTGACCACCTGCCTGGGAATACCCTTCACTATCTATAATTTAAGTTCAAGATGCTTTGAAAATAAAATATTTGAAAATAAAACCCATTACCTTTTAACTCTGTCACTGTGTTTTATGTTTTGTTTTTAATATTTTGATAACATTAAGTTCTTTGACTAGCTCATTTGTGGCCACACAGTTATTAGTAAATATTTATTGAGTCTTCTAGCATATGACAAATGTATGGGAACCCTGTAGTTGCTCAGGCAGTCTTAATTCCACAGAAAGTTCTCTGAGCTCTTCAATCTATCAATTAACCAACCAAGCAACCCCTTGAAAAACTGAAAATGATTACTTTCATCTCAACAGGGTCTTATTTCAAAGAACTGATTAAGAGAAACTTACTTCTTATTTATTTCTATTTAAATAATGAATAACAGTTACGAGTCCCAAGATTCTAGAACCTTATGAGATGTCACTTCCCATGTTTATATGTATAATTCCTAACACTGGATTTGTCATATGCTAGAAGACTCAATAAATATTTACTAATAACTGTGTGGCCACAAATGAGCTAGTCAAAAAGTTCCTTCATACTTTTTTTTCTTCTCCCCATCCACCCTGCCACTGTGGCCTGCCTCATTAAGCTAAGGTTTTGGCCAGGTTGGAAGTCCCTATGTTATATTATTTTTTAAGAAGTAATTTGCTAATATATAAATAACCATAAACTATGCATTACTCTTGACTCAGTAATATTACTTGGGAATATAACCTAAAGAAATAACCTCCAAAATAAAGGGGAGAAAAAAAATAGACAAGATATAGTGCTATTTATAGTAACAAAAAAAACCCCAATCAAGATACTTAATGGCTTACTTCAAACTTTAAAAATTTTAATTACATAGGCCAGAATAACACAGAAGAATGCTTATGAGAAGTATCAAGTAAAAAGAGTATAAAACTATGTAATTATCATGACTGTAAAAATAACACATATGAATATAAAAGGTAAAAAAGTCATTATGATTTGTTACAGTGGTAGAACTATGAGTAGAATAAAACACTAGCTTCTTAGAAATGTGGAATGAATAATACCTTACAAGAATATTGAAGCCTGAGACTGAGCTATTTTAAGTACAGTAACACTTTTAAAAACTGGTTTGGTAAAGTACTATCAAAAAGACATAACAGTAAACTTTTACATCTGAAAACTTAGTAGCAAACATCTAGTAAATAATGCTAAATTAAGATAATGGAGTAAGAAATGCAGGAAAAAATATCACTCAAATAATCTGATATAAGCTATTTTCTAGAAAAAGAAAAACATGCAAATTTCAATTTTTAAATACATTCTTATCAAGCAAAAGTAAGCCAATACTAACAAGGGCACATAATTTAACCTGGAAAACATAACATGTACAAGTTTTCTATAATAGACCTCCTCTAAAGCCACTGCAGTTTAAAGTATAACACCTAGGCTCTGCAAGAACATTGCCCTGGGTTAGGCATATCCTGACAATGAAGAGACCCTTTTTAGTGATACCTAATTTTTATACCCAAACCATATTTTCACATTACCTTACCCTTGCTAATAGTCCAGATTCTGGAACACACTGCTCTTCTGGGACTGCCTCTGGCTTACTCTGCTCAGTTGCAAAGGCCTGGTCAGCTCCATTTTTATAGTGGTTTGGTAAAGGTATCTTTGGTTCTAACCACTCGATTGTCGTTCCTGATGAAGTAAGAGAAAACTTTCGCTGAAACTTGCTCATAATCTGGGAAGTCCAGCAGATGTGGATTTTATTAAACAATTTTGTTTTGAGCCTACAAGACTAAAAGCAATTCAACCTGTTAGGAGATTCTGCAAAGAAGGCCACTTGTAGCTCATTAGCATGAACACCATGATTGGGTCTTTTACAACAGAGTAACTTGCAACTTGAAATCAGATACCTTTTAAAAGAATTGACCCTGACTAGGAGGACTAAACTCACTTGGGCAAATCTGTAAGCCAGAAGTGCATTCCCACGCTAACAAGTGATCTGCTATCTGTTCTGTATGAACCCTGACTCTCTAGGGATCAAAAAGTATGCAGTTAGGCTTTAAGGAGTCACAATTACAAGAGAAACCTGGAACCGTGAAGCAGTAAAATTTGCTTCAGTTTGGGACTGAACCTTATTCTCAGTAGCAATTTTCTAACCAATCAAGATAACCTCCTTGATCTAATTTGAGAACAGCATATACACATACATTCTTTTTTTCCTCTCATATAAAAAGAGTCCATATACTTTTAAATTGAAAGGTTCTTCTACTGAATAAATAATAGCTGACCTAGTGAAAAGGCAGTGGTCACATTTAGAGACCTGTCATCTTCTCAGTTAATGACTCAAATGTCTCTTATTACCCTCAACTAGTTCAACAAAGTGGATTCTATGCCTAATCAATAATGGAATATGTTCCATTTGATTTCAGAGGCTGATCTAGGTTTCACAGAAGCTTGGTTATAGAGTGCTATACAATAAGGAATGCTCAGAAATTTAAAAGAGCATGTAATTTACTTAGTCTATAATAAAACCCCAAACTTCAGTAAAGGAATAAATGACAAAGCACCTACCAGGCTACCAGAGCGTCTTGCTCTGCCACTCAGTTTAGTCTCACTTGGCATTTGGGGGATTCAGGATTGGGGAATGCCCTGGAGAAGTTCATGGGGTTTGTCTCGAAATTCCAAAGAGAGGAAAACACTTTTCTCCTACCTTAAAATGTTTATTCTTAATATCAACATACATATTTTTTTACTTCTAAAATAAGACGCACACAAACATTGAATTTAAGAGTTCTGTGTTAAGAAATTGCTCAACTGAGTGGAAACTAGAAAAAAATTCTTTATCAAACCAGTCATTTGGTCTCAGGACTCCACTAAATCAATGATCATTTCTGAGCCTCTGGATGATACACAATAAACCTTATGGGACTAAACACTAATTTAAAGCTCAGATTTCATTTCTCATGTCATCTCAAAATTTGAGTGGGAAGGTAATTCAGTTTTTCTTTCCACAATTATATCTGCATTCTCATGTGACTAAAGAATAAACTTTTACAAACCTAATTTGGAAAACATGGCAATTTATGATGAGAAATACCAATACTAGTTAATTAATTCTCCCAAATACCTACAAATCTGTGCTCTAAAAATAATAATGTGTGAAAACAATTTTTACTTTAAACACAATTCTATAGAATTGACAGGATATTTCACTTTTAAAAGCACAAAACACAAATTTACATTGCCCATGCTTCATCAACCATGAAGCAATCATTTGAAAATAAGATTGTATATTAAACTACAAAAGTGAAATTTCTGAAACAAAATTTTTAAAATTATATAGTTTTAATTAATCAAGTGATGATTAAGCAGGTAATACCTAACACTGTGCTACTTGATGTACTTTTTAAAAATTAAATAGCACAAACTTTCATTTTTCTGACTATTATTACTACCAAGACTAAAATTAACCCAAATTTCATAGCTCAGGGTAACACATCCAATGTTCACCACAGGGGAATAATAGTTTAGTAAACGAAAGTATATTTATCCCCTTAAAGTGCAGCACATAATAATTACGTTCAGTAAAAGCATATCATAAATTGGAAAATATTCCTTAGAGTAAATGAAAACTGTAAGATACAAACCCATTTTCTAATAACAATGCAATAAAACAAACAAAAAAGAAGAAGAAAAAAAGAAAACCGGTGAGGAATATACTAATATGTCACCAGTGGCAGTTCTGGTTGGTAGGATAACGAATTATTTTTACTTCTTCTTTCACTTATATGGCAGTTTCTAAATTTTTTATAATGAGTGTGTATTGCTTTGTAATAGGTGAAAACTTATTTTAGACTACTTACAATTTCCCTGAGGACCCAGTCTCTGTTCACCACTCACAATTTAAGCTATTCTCTCATTGGAATGTCCTCTCTCCTACCTCCCAACCCTAAGCTAATTAGTTTCTGTAGCTCTTCTGTGCCTTTCTTTCTAGACCCTTTTCTATCAAAAGTATTAGTCCATTCATATATTCTCCCACAGTGCTTTGTACCCATTTAAGTGGCACTTTATATATGAAAGTTAAGTATGTACATGTTCATCCCCAAGTGGACTACAAATTCCTTAAGGGAAATACACCTAGCTATTAACCCCTGTATTACTGCCCTACCTATACCTCAAATGACATTTAAAAGTTTAACTTGAAATATTGTATGTAGGCACACATATCAAGATCTGACTATGGTAAACTTTTTCTGAGCAGAGACTCAATTATTTTTCTACAAGACCTTTCTTTCACAAGTAAGGGGAGTTAGTTGGATAAGAGAACAATGAGTTGCTGTGAAATACTAAGTTACTACTATTGATACAATGTGATGGGGGTAGAGAAATTGGGGAGATGTCTGTTAAAGGGTGCAAATTTGCCACTAGATAAGTCAGTTCTGGAGAGCTACTGCACAGCATAGTGATTATAGTACAAACATTGAATTTAAGAGTTCTGTGTTAAGAAATTGCTCAACTGAGTGGAAACTAGAAAAAAATTCTTTATCAAACCAGTCATTTGGTCTCAGGACTCCACTAAATCAATGATCATTCCTGAGCCTCTGGATGATACACAATAAACCTTATGGGACTAAACACTAATTTAAAGCTCAGATTTCATTTCTCATGTCATCTCAAAATTTGAGTGGGAAGGTAATTCAGTTTTTCTTTCCACAATTATATCTGCATTCTCATGTGACTAAAGAATAAACTTTTACAAACCTAATTTGGAAAACATGGCAATTTATGATGAGAAATACCAATACTAGTTAATTAATTCTCCCAAATACCTACAAATCTGTGCTCTAAAAATAATAATGTGTGAAAACAATTTTTACTTTAAACACAATTCTATAGAATTGACAGGATATTTCACTTTTAAAAGCAAAAAACACAAATTTACATTGCCCATGCTTCATCAACCATGAAGCAATCATTTGAAAATAAGATTGTATATTAAACTACAAAAGTGAAATTTCTGAAACAAAATTTTTAAAATTATATAGTTTTAATTAATCAAGTGATGATTAAGCAGGTAATACCTAACACTGTGCTACTTGATGTACTTTTTAAAAATTAAATAGCACAAACTTTCATTTTTCTGACTATTATTACTACCAAGACTAAAATTAACCCAAATTTCATAGCTCAGGGTAACACATCCAATGTTCACCACAGGGGAATAATAGTTTAGTAAACGAAAGTATATTTATCCCCTTAAAGTGCAGCACATAATAATTACGTTCAGTAAAAGCATATCATAAATTGGAAAATATTCCTTAGAGTAAATGAAAACTGTAAGATACAAACCCATTTTCTAATAACAATGCAATAAAACAAACAAAAAAGAAGAAGAAAAAAAGAAAACCGGTGAGGAATATACTAATATGTCACCAGTGGCAGTTCTGGTTGGTAGGATAACGAATTATTTTTACTTCTTCTTTCACTTATATGGCAGTTTCTAAATTTTTTATAATGAGTGTGTATTGCTTTGTAATAGGTGAAAACTTATTTTAGACTACTTACAATTTCCCTGAGGACCCAGTCTCTGTTCACCACTCACAATTTAAGCTATTCTCTCATTGGAATGTCCTCTCTCCTACCTCCCAACCCTAAGCTAATTAGTTTCTGTAGCTCTTCTGTGCCTTTCTTTCTAGACCCTTTTCTATCAAAAGTATTAGTCCATTCATATATTCTCCCACAGTGCTTTGTACCCATTTAAGTGGCACTTTATATATGAAAGTTAAGTATGTACATGTTCATCCCCAAGTGGACTACAAATTCCTTAAGGGAAATACACCTAGCTATTAACCCCTGTATTACTGCCCTACCTATACCTCAAATGACATTTAAAAGTTTAACTTGAAATATTGTATGTAGGCACACATATCAAGATCTGACTATGGTAAACTTTTTCTGAGCAGAGACTCAATTATTTTTCTACAAGACCTTTCTTTCACAAGTAAGGGGAGTTAGTTGGATAAGAGAACAATGAGTTGCTGTGAAATACTAAGTTACTACTATTGATACAATGTGATGGGGGTAGAGAAATTGGGGAGATGTCTGTTAAAGGGTGCAAATTTGCCACTAGATAAGTCAGTTCTGGAGAGCTACTGCACAGCATAGTGATTATAGTCAACAATACTGTATTATAGACTTAAAAGTTAAGAGACTAGATCCTAAATGTTCTCATCACAAAAAAGAAATGGTAATTATGCAATGTAATTGAGATGTTAATTAAGCTTCAGTGGTAATCATATGCAATGCATACATGTATCAAATCAACATATTGTATACCTTAAATTTATACAATGTATGTCAATTATAACTCAATTTTTTTTAAATGTGAACTTTTTTAAATGTGAAGTTTAATCATCTTATTTAATTAAAAAACTTGTTTTTTGTTCTCCCAAGCAATAACATAACATTCTTTTCCCCAATAAATTAATTTCAAAAAGTAGGTGCTCTCAAATATTAGGTGGACACCTTATTTTTCAAATTGAAAGGTGACTGATAAAGTACTTATATATATATAGGAAATTATGAATAGTGCCCTATGTTTCTGTTTTGGCCAACTAGAAAAACAGTGATGTCACCAATTTTAACAGAAAGATAGGAGATGTGGGTCTTGAGTTTGGTTTTTGACATGCTGAGTTTGAGGTCCCTAAAAGGATAGTCAATGATATTAGACATTAGACCTAACAGCATTTCAGAGTTGAAAAAGGGCATAATATAAAAGACTTTCTATAACAGCGTGATAATTAAAAACCAAAAGGCTCACTGGTTTTCTTTTTTGTTTGTTTGATTCTTTTAATTAAGACTTCTTGGAGTGAGAATTACCATGAATACAGTCCTTTGATGTTTCAATCCTCAATGTCGAGTCCTACCTTTAACCTGTAACTTACCTGAAGGCAATGACCCCTTTTGATGTGATGCATGCTGCAACTGGAGAATATGAAAGCAGTCGTTTAAGCAGTTCATAGTTGCCATGGAAGTAGCTTTGAGCATTAAGAGATCCTGGTCCAAGGAACTAAGATGGCCAGAAGCAGGAAGGCATTCAATTCGTCTAATTAAGTCTCTTTGTTGTCCTTCAGCATGAGACATCATCTAAGGAAAAGAACAGAGCTGTGTGTCCCACTCTTGATTTCTGTATATCATATATACATACAATAGTCATTTTAATGACCATATTCAGCTTCTGAGCCATTTTTACGATACATTAGGCTCAGAAATCTATTTTAAGTTTGTTTGGATATTCTCAACTAATAAGCATTTAATAATGTTTACCAATTGAGCAAAAGATGGTGACCACTGGCAGCTGCATTTTTTCTTTGGAAGCAACAAAGCTCAAAAGTCTTAACAAACCTTTTATAAATAGTATAAAGTTATAAAAGTCACTAAAAGAACATTCTGGATCATCCTTAATATTAGCATTAAGTATTTCATTCCAAAGTAAAATTAATTCCAGTCTGGGTTCTCAACCACTTTCTTCTCAGCACCTCTGATCAGGCTCAATTTGAACCTACATTGAGAACACAACTGTTTGCCTGCTTCCTCTTAATCTAGCTTTCTGGTCCCACTAGTTTAACTCTGGAGCAAGTACTGGATATAAACTTTTCAGATTAGAAGAGTTTAATACATTCTGCTGTAACCAGGGGCCCTGTCTACTTTTCCTAACAAAGCCAATGACTGATAAGCAACCCAATATTTTTTTTTTTTTAGGAGAGCAAGGTACATGCCCCTATCCAGAGACACATGCCCCTATCCAGAGACAAAGTGAAAGGACAGAGTCCCCGGCCCACGCCAGGAGGGGATAAGAGAGTCCCTAAGCAACCCAATTTTTAAAAATGTAAACTGAATTTATTATGCTTAATTACTTTCAATTGTGACCAACCAGAGGATTCTCGGATTGCCTATCCTTTGGATACTATTTTAATTCACATAGAAATTCTATAGAGGAGAGACTCTTAGCTTTCAGAGGTTCTGTTGCAGATGATTTTTGATACTGTTTTCAGGAGGTCAGTGAAAAAGAAATACAAATGATCCTACCAGGCAAATCAAGTGTGTCACACAAGAAATAGCCCCTGAAAACATGTAGCAATGGATCATTCAAGAAAAAAGCTTTTCTTAAAAAAAAGTATGGGTATGAAGGTATCTGTACACACACATTATACATGCATGTATATGTGTGCTTTGTGCATAACTGTTTTTGTCTATAAATTTGGGGACTAACTTCCAACAATCCAAACTTATGAAATGAATGGCAACCACTTTGGAAAACAGTTTTGTAATACTGACCAGAGTTAAATATATAGAACTAAATAAAAATAATCCATGCTCAAACAATTACACTCTTCAATATGTAACCAACAGATTATGTATATACACATGTTCATCAATGCTAATGTCTCTCAATACTAGAATGGATAAATAATATATAGGTATATCCATACAATAAATGCTGTTGAACATGAAAAATCGGAAATGTATATTTAACATTATAAGTAAACCTCTAACATATAATAATGTTGACTGAAAAGAAGCCATATTCAAAGGAGTACATACTATTTGATTCCAGCTTAGAAATTTAAAAATAGGCAAAATAAATCTGCGGTGTTAGAAGTCAGGCTAGTGGGGAGGAGAGGGTATAGTCAATGGAGGGGCATGAGAAGGTTTTCTAGGAAGCTAGTAATATTAAATTTCTTGATCTAGGATGTAGTACCTATAAATTACATCAAGATGTATACTTACGATTTTGTACTTTTCTATATGATAAGCCACTAAAAATTTAATGAAGGAAAAAATCCTAAATAGGCTATTCACAACACACAAATAATCAACTTTCACAATATAACACATAAGAGAAACAGTTTTTCTTTGTGTAAATGACCCAGCAGCCAGTGCTGCTGTTAGAGGTGAAGAGGCCGAAGTAATATTCTTGGCTAGAGAAAATAAGCTTTAAAATGTAATTATAGCACAAATGTTAAAATCTGGTAATGGCTCTTTCCAAAGCAAACAAATTGGCTGATCATATATTTACAAAGAAAGAGAAAACTGATTTGTGAAGTTGTGTTAGTGATTATTCCTGACACCATAAAACCAGTTTCTCAAGAAAGAAAAAACTACAGGAGAGTTGAAAACTTGCTCAATGTGTGTTTTGTAGCTAGGTATGGTAAATATAATGATAGAAGTACATCAACAAGGCGTCATCTAGTGTGTCTGAAAACCAGATCAGAATCATGATTTTATCAATTTTAATTGTCTGTCTCCCTTTCTAGACTGGTCATTTTAACTTAGGGTACAGTATAGCATCAGCATGAAACATGCAGTGAATAATAATTGAGTAATTCGATAAATAGTACTAATAATAAACAGCAAATACCAAAATAGGTCATTTTTATTAGGTAAAGCCTTAGTAACAAATTAATTTCAAGCACAGTATGACTCTATTCTCAATAGTCAGTTGCTTTTGCCAACTGTTACTTAACCTATTGCTGGACTTAATACCCACATACTTGGTAAAAATGTTCCTTTCATAGGGGGAGTCTAGTAACCATAATGTTGTTCAAGTAATTGTAAACTAACGATATCAAAAAAAAATTTTTTATTAAAAAATAAAAAATAATAATAAATAAATAAAATTATTGAGGATGAAAAAAAAATGTTCCTTTCAAACTTATTCTGCATTACAACCTCCTGAAGTTGGATCACTCTAGAACAGCAATTCTCCAAGTATGCTCTGCAGACCCTGTGGGACTCTTCGGAGGGTCTGTGAAGTCATCACTATTTTCGTAGTAATTCTAGGAAATTATTTGCCTTTTTCATTGTGGTGGTATTTGAATTGATGGTGCAAAAGCAATAGTGGGCAAAACTGCTGGCATCTCAGTGAGAATCAAGGCAGTGGTACCAACTATCCTAGCAGTCACCACATTTTTAACTGCCATGCATTTACAGGAAAAACAAAAAGCCAATTTTACTTAGGAATATCTTGAAAAAGCAGTAAAAATTATTAGTTTTACTGTATCTTGACTCCTGAGTATACTATTTAAAAAAATAGTCTATGTAGAAGACAGGAAGTGTATTTCTGCTGCATATCAAAGAAGGGGGAAAAAGCATTCCTGCCTTTTATCAGAGTACAGTGGGTGGCTGGAGGGTAAAACACGTGACAACTGAGCTGCAAGCTGAACAAGCTGGTTTTCCACAGATCACCGTTCTGACACTAACAGATGTGTGACTGAGTAAGAAAAACATTATTTGGTCTCTCTACCTACCCCTTCCTGGCACCAAGCTCTAAACCTTTGTAAGTTCCTAAGAGATTAGAGAACAAGCACATCTTTTGTTACAATATTTGATTTTGTTCCTGAAATAGCTTCAGAGCAGAAAGGTGAAAAGTGTGTCTTTTATTATCCACAGCAAACCCCTTTTAACCACACTAGAGTTGTGTTAATGAAGCGATTGCTTTGGAGAGTCCCTACAAAGGGACTGGTTGCCAGGGGAATCAACCCTTTGATTAGAGAGTACCCTCCCCCACCCCCAACCTCTATGGAGGAGGCGGTGGAAGCTGAATTAATCACTAATGGTTAAAGATTTAGTCAATCATGCCTACATAAGGAAGCCTCCATAAAAATTCAGGAGGAGAAGGTCCAGAGAAATTCTGGTTGAAGAACACTTGGAGGCACTTGGAGGGTGGTATGACCAGAGAGGGCATGGAAGCTTCATGCTCTTCCCTGCCTTCAATATTTTGCCCTAGCTATCTCTTCCATCTGGCTGTTTCTGTGTTACAGTATTTTATAATAAACTGGTAGTATCATAAGTAAACTGTTTTCCTGAGTTCTGTGAAATGTTCTAGCAAATGATTGAACCTGAGGAAGGTGTAGGGGAAACCTCATATTTATAGCCAGGTGGTCAGAGGCATAGGTAGACAACCTGGACTTGCAAATGGCATCTGAAGTGGGGTCAGTCTTGTAGGATCTAACATCATCAGAACTGAGTTAAATTTTAGGACAACCAGCTGGTGTCCACAGAGAAGTAGAGAATTTCTTGGTATGGGGAAACTCCCCACAACATTTGGTGACCATAATAGTAGAGAAGAGGAGGAACACAGGAGTGCTTTCCCCATACAGAATGACTGTTAGAAACTAGATTTCAGACTTGGGGGCAAGTGGTAGACATTTTCTCAAAACTAAACAAAATAAACCTATCATGTGAAGAAAACTGTCAGCACTTGTTGCCAATTATAAAACCTGAGCTTTACAATGATCTTTAGAATTCTGGAAGAACCTGTATCTGTCACCATAAGCATGACAGCTTCCCAATCAGAAAGCCTTTTCTGATGAGCTTGGTAGGGGATGCTAATAAACGTGAATTTTTGATATCATATTATGATAAAATAGATCAACATTTGCAAGACCTGCATAACTCTGTGAGCTATTAATTTCCAAATGACTAACGCATGGTATTACAAAAGCATGCATAGGTTAGAGATACATTCCAAGTGTAAGACAGACCCATGGATTTTCACGTAACAGTATGAAAAGTTTACTGATATGTATTAGATTCCATACTGCATTTAACATTAAGAAACTACCACTGTCAAGTTTTCATGCAGTACCAAGGGATAGCTGCCACAATTATCTTAAAAGACTATTAAAATATTCCTCTACTTTCTAGCATATCTATGTGAGGTCACTGTAAGATAAATTCTCGCTGAAATAAGCAGGCGATGAGAGGCTACAAAGGGCCAGACAGTTTATTTGAGCACAATTCTCGGGTGATATTCCTGAGTCTGGGTATTACAGGCCGGGGAAGTCACACCTGGTCAGGGAGGTGGGGGCTTATAAGGGGTTAGGAGGGGGAGGAGTGGGCAAGCTATCTTAGGGGGCATGGAGAGGTATGATTGGCTAAGGGTGACATAACAGACAACCAGCTTTTTTCCTTCCAAGAGGGAGGAGGCTGACATCCAGGTCTTAGTTGGCACATCAGAAGGATGGAATTCAGGAAGAGCTGTCCCCTTTCCATATAAGGCACAGACCTTGGGGTCTGGTCTGTTCTCCTTTTATGGTATCTCTCTGTTCTGTTTGCATGTCCTTGTTTTTCCTTCCCAGTCACTACACAGGTATCTATAAAGTTCTACCAAATTTAACTCAGCAAGCAATACCTGGAATATTCAGAACCTAATAACTGCATCCTTTATTAACTAGATTTGGTATTCAGTTTGGAAACAAAGAGGGAAATGGTGAGAGAAGCCAACATCAAGGATTTAACTACTGTATTCTATTTTTGTATATCCCTGATAATTTCCTATATGTATCAGTTTTTGTAAAAAAGAGTCACTTGTTTGGTCATTTGGTCAGTTTTCCCTTGAGGCTTAATAACACTTTTGATCATAATTTTATATCAAAGAAGTCTGTACTTTTTTACTTGAGAAACAAAAGGCACAGACTTTTAAAAAATGAGAGTGTACCTGTCATGTAGTTGACAGACAAGGAAACTCAGGACATCTTTATCACTGAAAAATTATCTCAGTACAGTAGAGGTAAAACACTGAGGGCCCCAGAAGACAAAAACAGGATTGAAAAATGTTCTGTGACAAAACCAAGCAGGTAAGATTATTTTGTGCATTTTAACTTGACTTCAAGTCATACTTACTTCTCTGACTTCCACAAGATGGTCTGGAGGTAAGTGAGCTCTTTTGCTCACTGACTGTAGTTTGGAATGTCCAACATTAAAAAAAGAAATGGCATTTTGACTTGGTCTCCTCTGGGATATAGGAGAATTGCCACTAGATGCAAGCGAGAAGCTCCGTGATTTCAGAGGAGGATTATTCTATTAGACAAAGAAAATCATTGCTTTAAAAAATTTTATGCTCTCTAACCCTCAACTTCTCAAACATGTGAGGCTTAACACATGCAGGGTTTTAAAAACTGACTTCAAGAACATTTCAAAAATGTTGAAATTTAAGACACTCAAAGTTTAAACATTTCACACAACCCATAGTAAACTGGTAATTTACTTAAAAAATTAATTCCAGTTTTGTGCTGTCAAGAATATTTTTTCACATTTTACTAATATTAACAAGAAAGGTCTAATTTCAGATTTTTAAACATCAGGATTGAAGCCGAAAACGTACTCAGCAATCTTCAATATAATAAAATTTTTAATACAACATGCAAGTATCTTTGGAATAAACTAGTACTTTCTGATCACTGCCAATGATTGCAATCTTGCAGAATGGATAAAGCTTTTTATTTTATTTTGATTTACTGAAGACTAGGTAGTAGGCCTCAATCACAAACAACCTTTTAAAGTTTATTTATGGGAAAAAACATTAGGAAAAATTTCTTTTATAAAGTCAAGCTTTCACCTAGGTATGGGATCCCTGAACTCTGGGGCTAGTTTTAACTATGCTAGTTTTTAGATGACTCTAACCTCAGATTTCAAGTACAGAGATCCTCCTTTTCACCTGAAAAAAATAAAAACATTCCAAAGCCAATATACAAATGACCAATGAGCTCATGAAAAGATGCTCAACATGGCTAGTCATTAGGGAAATGAAATTAAAATCACAATGAGACTCTACTTTGCACTCACTAGGATGGCTGTAACAATTAAAATTTTAAAGAGCACAATAACAAGTATTGGTGAGGATGCGGAAAAACTGAAACCTTCATACATTGCTAGTGGGAATGTGAAATGGTTCAGCTGCTTTGGAAAAGAGTTTGGCAGTTTCTCAAAAGGTTAAACAGAGAGCTACCATACAATCCAGTAATTCCACTCCTAAATTATACCATGGAGAACTGAAATCATATGTTCATACAAAAATTTGAACACGCATGTTCATTGCAGTATTATTCATAATAACCACAAACTAATGAATGATAAGTGAAATGTGGTACATCCACACAGTGGAATATTATTCAGTCATAAAAAAGAATAATATGATACCTGCAACAACATGGATGACCCTTGAGAACATTATGCTAAGCATAAGAATCCAGACACACACAAAAAACACATTTTGTATGATTCCATTTATATGAAATGCCCAGAAAAGACAACACAATATAAATAGAAAAAAGACTAGTGTTTGCCAGAGGCTTGGAAAACGAGAGAATTAGGGAGTGACTGTTAATGGGATATGGATTTTTTGGAAGGTGATGAAAATGTTCCAGAATTAAATAACTACAATCACTGCACACACTTGTGAATATACTAAAAACCACAGAATTGTACACTTTAAAAGGGTAAGTTTTATGGTATGTTAGTGGTATTTCAATTTTTAAACCCAAAAAAAAAAAACTGAACAGTAACATTCTTGGGGTTGGCATGGTTGGGTGGGGTGAGTGATGGGAATAAAGAGGCAAAAAATCTCAGTCATAATATAAGTTGGTCTTGGGGATGGAAGTGCAGCATGGAGAATATAGTCAATGGTTCTGTAATATCGTCCTATGTTGACAGATAGTAATTGTACTAGTTGGGGTGAGGATTTAATAATGTGTGTAACTGTTGAATCACTGTGTTATATACTTGAAATCAATATAATATGAATCAACTATACTTCAATAAAAAAAATCCCCCATTTTTGTACATGAATATTGTACATGAGTCTACATACCTTTCCAATAGCTTCAGTATGATGTTGTGTACATATCTGAAGTCTGCTAACCCAATGTTGTCGCTCTTTAGCATCTGTGGCTGATAAAAAGAATCTAAAGGTTATTCACTTTACATTTATTTCAGGAATGCAAGTAACTGCCTACAGCACAAACAGTAGATCGTCCTATGCTGAAAATGAAAACTGTGGATTGGTTCTACTCTCCCTAGAGCAAATGTTCCTGACTGGAGGAAGGTAGGAAAGAGGAACAAGCATCAACCTTATCAGGTGACACAGTAGCTGGATGTGGTTATTTCAGAAGGAGGACAAATTACATGCAGCTAGGTGGAGACATGAGACTTGGCATGTCTTAGGTTTCTTATAAAAATATGCTCTTATTTAAAGAAATAACCTTTATTAAGCATTTGATATGTACTCAATACCTTCAGATCTCTAGCATCATGCTCAGTTCGAATTACTGTTACATTGCCTGTGTATTAATTAAATAAGAAACACAAGCATCTACAAAAATTAAATTTATCTGAGTAAAAGTTATATTTTAATGAATATAAATATTTTAATAAATCCTACGTATGTACACTAGTTATTGAAAACCACAAAGAGGACATGCAAACCAGGTCAAGAAGAGTAAAAAACAAATCCATGGCAGACAAAAATATCATTTAAAGAATCCTGTTTTTAGATTTCTCACCAATTATGTTTTAGTTTACACAAATATTTTAGAAGGGCTAACCTTAAACAGACTTGTTCCACTTGAAAAAAGTTACTTACTAAAACAGATTTCATAAATTCTTAAAGCAATTTCAAAGTTTAGAATTTTGGGTGTACATCATTAGTGACAGTAGTTCCTATTTCCCAAACTCAAATGAAAGCTGGAAAGTACCCCAACTTCTCAGGGAAGAAAATCACACTATTAATTCTCATATCTTGACCATACCTCTGAGTTTATACTGTTCCCCACTGGCAGCATTTACAGTGAAGGTATGAGAGTCCTCATCACTGGGTGATATCACAGCTCCTGCAAGCTGCAAAGTACCTCTGGGTTTTTGATTTCTAGACTGTTCGTTCACAAAGTACTCCAATAAGCCAGCTTCATTGTTTAAAACAAAAAACCTGTAATGATTTTAAAAAAGTCACAATTTAAAAATATTCCCTCTAGCCAAACTAGAGTAAACTACATTTCTTTCGCTTGCACACTCTGGAGTTTTTGCTATTAAAAAAAAAAAAATCCAAAAGCATTGCAAGAAGTACTTGGAAATACTAGGTTGAATTTCCCAGCAGTAAATATCACTGAAAACTAAAAGAATTTAATAACAGATAGAAAACTTCAGCTGAGGGAGACGCACTTAACAGGGAAGAGACATAATAGGTAATGCGAAAAGGAAAAAAGGTATAGCATCTTTTCAGAGGAAGCTTTCTCTCCAGAATTCACTGGCAGGGAGGGTAAACTGCCCAAAGACAAAGAGTACGTAGAATTTTTATTTAAAATTCCCTGGAAACAAACCAAAATATGAGCTCTGAGGTTAACTAAATGCTAGGTTAAGAAATGAATCTGACTTTGAAGATTTAATCAGTGAAATATACAATGAGAATAATACAGAGTAGAAAGATTTTGTGAATGTATCATTAAAAAGGTCACAACTAAAGATTACTTATCCTGTTTAAAAATGAAAAAGCTGCAATTGGAAATGCAGAAACATCAACTTGAAACTACATGATGAAACAGTGATATACTTCGGAAAAGAATTTGATGTTCTGATTTGGTTCTAGATTAGCTATTTTAGGAAATACATTAATTCAGATTTCCAATGTAAGTAATACAATAGTTCTTTTCCCTAAAAAAACCTAAGAAGTTTCAATATCAAAAAATTATTGTTTGGCTTTGGAGCAGTTTTGTATTCTACATGTTAGTGTATTCTATAACACTAGACAATCTGATCCAGTTCAAGGTCCTAGAAGATGTTAACTGTCTTAAGCTACATGGCAACCATATTAACCATATCAAACTGGGAAAGAGTGGAATCAATCTTTTATTCAGGGAAAGAAAAAGAGAATTGATGAGAGGCAAGCAAGAGAAGTAGAAGGTGGTTACCTGAGAAGGGAAATGGGAAAGCAAAGGACTACTGTTTTTCTTGTTCATGTTTTAGCACGCTTCTGATTTTTAAAATTATGTTCATATATTTTGATTAAGATATACATAAATTTTAATATTTTCAAGTATTTTTAAACTTCAAATTCATTAATTACTATAAGAGTTAAGCATTTTTTCATGTGTCTACTCACCACCAGTAGTTCTAGAGAGCCACCTGTCATGTTTTGCCCACTCTTAATAGGGTTATCTTTATTTTCCCAAAGGAGCATTTTAATTAATGTAAGACAGTCACCAATATCATCGTAAATTTCTAAAACACATGACCTGTCCTCAGTAAAATGCACATATGAATCTGCTGTGGTCTGAATGTGTCCCCCCAGTATTTCATTGTTGAAATCTTGATCTCTAAGTAATGGTATTAAGAGATGGGACCTTTGGGAAGTGATTAGGTCAAGAGGGCAGAACTCTGACAAATGAGATTAGTGGTTTTATAAAAGAGACCCTTGCCCTTTTCCTGTCATGTGAAAATACAACAAGGAATCTGTGATAGCAAGAGGGTCCTCACACAACCATGCTGGCACTCTGAGCTTGGACTCCCAACCTCTGGGACTGTGAGAAACAAACTGCTACTATTTATAAGCTACCCAGTCTTGGTATTTTTTTTTAAGTTTTTGCATTGTTATTTTAGTTTTGAATTTTGCAGCCCAAACAAGCTGAATCTACTACAAAAAAAATCATCAAATAAACAAAAGGGCTCTGTTAACAAGAAAGTAATCTCTTCAGTACACCAAAAACCAATTGAGTTGTACACTTTAATTGGGCAAACTGTATGATATGTGTATTGTACCTCAATAAACCTATTAACAAAAAGAACGAACAATCAAGAAATGAAGGAAGGAAAGAAGGAAAAATATTTTCCCACTGTTCTAAGCAATAAGTGTGACTATGTACGGTACAGATGTTACTGGACTTGTTGTAGTGATCACTTTGCAATGTATACAATTATTCAATCATTATGTTGTACACCTGAAACTAATATAATGCTATATGTCAGTTATACCACACACACTAAAAAATGAGCCCATAACTGATTATCTTTCTTATATGATACTATGGCATCTAACATAATACTTTCTAAAATTATACTGTGGCCCCAATGGCATAATAGAGCACTTCAGACTGCCTTTCTTTATGCATGGATTAATCTAAATGTTCTTCTTTCGTCCCTTCTAAAGAGAGATATTTTAAAAGATATATAGTGTGGGGATTGAGAGAATTCACATAGGAAACTTGACAAAGCTGTTTTGCTCACTCTTAATCGAGACATTTTTATCAAGTTGCCAAAGAAATGGGACACTAAGCCTAGAGTCCTTTAACGTGGTCTTAACCCTTCTGTTACCTTTTCATCAATCAAGCGACATGGTCCAGGCTGAGGGCCCCATATATCTCTGCTGTACCACAAAGAACTCCCTCCAGCCAGGATGACAGAAAAGGAGCATGGAGGTTTTTTCTAATGTGGGCCTACAGCATCAAGTCGGCAAGCTGAGACCTCTTTGGTATGGGGCAAGTTGGTAAAAGATTCTGTGTTCTCAGCAGCAAACAGGGATGGGCTGTTCTCACCCCCACACTTTCTAGTGCTGCTAAAACTGGCCTGGAGGGATTATGCTGGCAGAGGCAGTGCCTGCCTATCCTAGAATGCCTGCTTAGATATGCTCACTGACTCCCCAGGCAACAGTAGCCAATGGATCTTTTTGGCAGGCTCCCTCATACAAGGATACAAATACCTGCCGTTTCTTCCCACAGTCCCAACTTCACACTGACCTGAAATGCCATCTTTAACATCTACTACATCTTACATGTTCGGGTATGTTTGAGAGCTTTCTTTTTCTTACTCCGTTTGATTTCTGAGACTTCTCAATAATATTCAATATGTGAATGAAAGTTGTTGACTGTTGGGGGAGACAGTTAAGCTGTTTTTCTTTTAAGTACGAGAACAAAGAGTAGTTTCAAGAGCAAAGTGACTAAGGGCAAAGTGACATTAAATTTTTCAAAATTAATATTGTATATGTCATCTGAATATAAAAGCCTTCAAAAAATTACAAAAAACTAAAGTGGAAAATACAAAATGAAAAGGCTCTCTTGACTTTCTTTTTTCAAATAAAGTTGGGAACCCTAGAGAACAGACTTTTTCCCTTCAACAGGTACAATGCTCTTCTAAGTTTTCTTATCCAGCTTTGACCTCTCATATATCTCCAACTTCTTGCATGTCACTCCTATTTGGACTCCTTAATGTTACTTTAAACCAAACATGGCCCAAACTGCCTTCTCTTTTAAACAATCACATTTTCATAAGTGCTTCTACTATTCTTTAAAATGCCTGAAAATCATTCTTTGATATACTATATCCCATTTTCTAGTTGTTTAAGGTAGGAAGACAAATCTAGCAGCTGATTTTATCATGGCCAAAAGCAGAAGTACCCAAATCACTCGTGAAATAGAAACTGCAGGATGTAACATAAAAATATAGACTTTAGAGGCAGAACTGTCTGGGTTCAAATTTTATTATTTTCATTTTTAAAAAGTTTAAAAACCACAAGGAGATACTACTTCATATCCTTTAAAATGGTTATTATTTTAAAAATAAAACAAAATACCAAGTGTTGGTGAGGATGTGGAAAAATTGGAATCCTTGTACATTGCATTGCTGGTGTAGCTGCTATGGAAAACAGTATTGAGATTCCCCAAAGAGTTACACAGAATTGACATATGATCCAGCAATTCCACTTCTGGGTATATACACAAAAGAAGTGAAAGTCAGGACTCTGACAAATATTTGCACAGCAATACTCAGTATCCACTGACAGATGAATGGATAAATAAAATATGGTATACGTATGCAATGGAGTATTATTCAGCCTTAACAAGGGAGGAAATTTTGACACATGCTGTAACATAGATGAATTGAAGATCACATGCTAAGTGAAATAAGCCAGTCACAACAATTTCAAATTTCAAAACAAATATTGTATGATTCTACTTATAAGAGGTACCTAGAGTACTCAAATTCATAAAGACAGAAAGTATAATAATGGAGGGTAGGAAATGGGGATTTACTGTTTAATGGGTACAGGGTTTCAGTTTGAGAAAATGTAAAAAGTTCTGGAGATGGATGGTGGTAATGGTTACACAACAATGTGAATGTATTTAATGCTACTGATCTGTACACTATAAATGGTTAAAATGGTAAATTTTCTGTTATATGTATTTTAACCACAATAAAAAAATAAAGTTTAATCCCCCATTCCACAACTACCAATTCTACGAAGTATTTATGATACCTGGCTTTGCTGCTTACTGCCTGCCTGTGTCACCTTGCACTGGTTTTAGCTCCTCAAGGTCCCAGAGAAATTCTGAGGATCCTCCACAAAACAGACACCTAACACAAATCTGTTTCCAGCTTCCAAACAGGTCACAAGAACCTGACCCTTTTAAGTATTTTTAAAAGCCCAAGGCAGGTGAATAAGTGTTTCTAATCCTAATATAATTGTAAATTGTGGCATTTGGAGGCTACCATTTGGGCAGATGTCAGCTCCTTCCACCACCTAAAATGGAGGAAAAAGTCATCAGACTTTTGAAAACATGGTAAATCCTTGTCTACAAGATTTACCAGTCATGTTTTGCACTGAGCTAATATCAGAAAATAAAATTATCAGCCCCCCTTCTGGTCCCTAAGGATAGTGATGTGACAGAATGATCACACTTACCTGTACTGCCACCCAGTGACGAGGTTGGTATACTTCATTAAGTAGCCATAAACATTTTCCATGTGATCACTGTTTCAAAAAAATCAAAGTGCCAAACATCAGTGAAAATTAGAATATCAGGAGTTTAACTGTAAAGTTTTAAAAATAGTTGTAAATAATATGTCCCTCAAATGCCTTAAATTATCTTGAGAAGCAAAATTTATAGATTAATAATAGAGGTAACAATAAATGAGAGATACTTAACCCCCCAAATTTCATATTCACAGAACTTTATTTTACCAGATTTCTTCAAAACAAGATTATCCCTCATAATTACTATGAAATATTATGTAAATGTAAAACAAATATACCATAAGTGGAACTATAAGTAAAAATATTTTATAACAATTCAATAGTCAAGAAATAAAATATAACTTTATAGTTCTAGAATTAACAAAAAAGGTTTCTAGATTGAAGAGTGCCTCTTCACTTTAACAGGACACACAAAAGGCCAATCTGTTCTGTCTCTGTCTGGTTCCTTGGGCTTCCAAAATGAAGGTCCTGCTTCTGATGAGAGTGTGACACCTCTCACCTACTCCCCAACCCCAGGCAGGCATGGGGCAAAGGACTTAGTGCAAGTCTTGTCATTAGAAAGATTTTATTTGAGAACTGTATCACTAGCTTTACTACAACTGAGTTTCTTCCTGTCCCCTTTCCTCATTTCATCAGGTATGTCATTATAGTGATTCACAGAAAATACAATATCCCACTGATATTTCTTTTCTAATATTTTAAGATTCCTTATACTTACTGAAGCTAGACCTACATTGATGCATATTTAACTATACTTCTAATGTTTTATTTTTTTATCTTCTTTTTAAAGTATCATTGATATACAATCTTATGATGGTTTCACATAAACAACACAATGGTATCAACATTTACCCATATTATCAGGTCCTAACCCCCTCCACTGCAGTCATTATCAAAATAGTAAAATGTTACAGAGTCAATTATTTGTCTTCTCCATGCCATACTGCCTTCCCGTAACTTACCTATATTGTGTTGCAAATTATAGCACTCCTTTATCCCCTTCTCCCTCCCCACTCTCCCTCCTGAACCCCTCCCCTTTGGTAACCACTTGTCCCTTCTCGTTGTCTGTGAGTCTACTGCTATTTTGTTCCTTCTGTTTTCCTTTGTTTTTATACTCCACAAATGAGTGAAGTCATTTGGTACTTGTCTTTCTCCACCTGGCTTATTTCACTGAGAATAATACCCTGTAGAGCCATCCATGCTGTTGCAAAAGGCAGGATTTCTTTTCTTTTTATGGCTGAATAATATTCCATTGTAGATAGTACTACTTCTTTTTTCATTCATCTATTTTTTTTTCCATTCATCTATTGATGGACACTTAGGTTGCTTCTATATCTTGGCTATTGTAAATAATGCGACAGTAAACATAGGGGTGCATATATCTTTTCAAATTTGATGTATATTTTTGATACATGGGCTTCATTTATTAATTTTGTAATTCACATTAAGAATTCCTTTTCAACTCACCTACTCTGCTCTAAAGTTTTGACACTATAAAATGCAATGGATACCAAACATTTATTTTCTCTACTGTCCCCAACTCACAGAGCATATTTGGTAAAATTTCAGCTAAACCGCCTAGGAAATTGAAAGCATCAGGCAATCGGCAACCTTTAAAATATGGATTATCAAAGGCCAAAAAACAAGGGAGAGCTGACACAACTAACAGAACAAAGTTCAAAAAAACTTAGATTGATCTGAATGACAAATGAAAATGGCTGAAGATAAAAATACTCATTCAGGCAAACAAAATGAACAAAGTGACTGGAAGATCCTAGCAGCTATTACAGGAGAATGACTCAAGGGATGGATGACTCAGGAGTAACTCAAGGTTGGGTGCCTTCCTAATCTTATTTCTTCAAAGTGCTTGAAAATAAGTATCAAATCGGAAAATAAAGAATCGATCACCTGACTGAGTATATGTCATTTTTTTCCTTTATTGTTTTTTTCCATTCTAAGACTAGCAAGCAATACTGTTTATTAACATCAAGTGAAACTGCTCAAGTCCTTTTGGTTTCATGATATCACTATTCTCAAGAAGGCAAAGGTTGTCAACCTCTAGAACGTCAACCCAAAATTCTTACAATTACACACACATTCTGCTATGTTAAAACTGACAGAACCAGGTAAATTAATATTTCAACATTTCCTAAAGCCCACATCTGAAAGGATTCTTCTGTAGAAACAGCCTCTTGGGTTTTGGCTAGAGTTCCTCTACTTCCAGCCCAAAGTCACAGCAAAACTATTTCTTTCAGTTCTATTAGTACTTGAAAAAGCAGAGAAATACTTTTCTTATCTGATTTTCACACCTTTCCCAGGCTTCAGGCTTAAACAACTCTTGGGGCCACAGGAATCCCAATGCCAGTGGATTCTTCTCAAAAGTATTTTCCCAAAGAATTCTTCTTCCCTCTGTTTGAGATATTTAACACAGCTCAGGTTCCCTGAACTGTTCTCATCCTGAAAACTTATCCCTTCATTTATACGTGGAATCTGAAACAAAAAAAGAACTTATAGATACAGAGAACAGATTGATGGTTGCCAGAGGTGGTGGAGGGCAAAATGGGGGGAGGGGGTCAAAAGGTACAAACTTCCAGTTATAAAATATAAATTAAGTCCTGGGGATGTAATGTACAGCATGGTCACCAAAGTTAATACTACTATATTGTATGGGAGAATATATTCATAAACGACTCATCTGGTAAGGGGTTAACATCCAAAATATATAAAGAACTCACATGCCTCAACACCCAGAACACAAATAACCCCATCAAAAAATGAGCAGAGAATCTGAACACTTCTTCAAAGAAGAAATACAGATGGCTAACAGGCACATGAAAGATGCTCCACATCGCTAATCATCAGGGAAATGCAAACTAAAACCACAGTGAGGTATCACTTCACACCGATCAGAATGGCCATTGTCCAAAAGACAAGAAATAACAAATGCTGGTGAGGATGTGGAGAAATAGAAACCCTCCTACACTGTTGGTGGGAATGCAAATTGGTGCAACTACTGTGGAAAGCAATTTGGAGGTTCCTTCAAAAACTAAAAATAGAAATATCATTTGACCCAGTAATTCCACTTCTAGGAATTTACCCAAGAAAACAAAATCCCTAATTCAAAAATATATATGCACCCCTATGTTTATCACTGCACTGTTTGCAATAGCCAAGATATAGAAGCAACCCAAGTATCCACCAATAGATAAATGAATAAAGAAGACATATTACATATACACAATGGAATATTATTCAGCCATAAAAAAGAAAGGAAATCCTGCTATTTGTAACAACACAGATGTATCTAGAGGTTATTATGCTCAGTGAAATAAGACAGGTGGAATAAGACATATACCATATGATTTCACTTATTTGTGAAATATAAAAACAAAGCAAAACAGAAGGAAAAAACAGCATTAGACTCACAGACACTGAGGAGTGACTAGTGGTTGCCAAGGGAGAGGGGAGTGAGTGGGGAACAGGATATGGGGAGAGGGAGGAGGACTGCTAAACCACTGTGATGTACATTTGATAAAATAAAAAAAGAAAGTCAAAAAAATAATATTTTTTGTATATTTTAAAGCTGCTAAGAGTAGACTGTAAAAGTTCTATCACAAAAAAATGTGTAAAACTGTGTAGTGACAGATGTTGTGGTGATTGTTTCACATTATATACAAGTATCAAATCATGGAGTACACCTGAAACTAAGGTAATGCTATATAATTATGGTGATTTAAAAAAACTTGCTCTTTGTCCATTTTGTCCTGAAGCTCCATAAACTGAATATTTATTTACTTACTTACAGTTTGCATCAACCCACAAAAGGCCTAAAGTTTCATATAACCTAAATTAAATATTTCCTCAAAGTGCCAAGATACTCCATAATTCACCATTTCTGGTCTCTCCTCTCAATCTAGGTTCTCCACACCAAGCCTTCAATACTAGGTGTCATTCCATAGCTATTAGCATGTAACAAAAACATTGCTATTCAATTAGTCCAAGTCCTCTGGTTCCAGAATTACATATATCCTTCAAATGCATGTGAACTGCAGGGAGACTCTTAAAACCTAAGTACACTATCTACAACTGAGAAAAACAAAATTTTCGTTTCAAAGCAAAGACGACTCCTTTTCTCTTCTACCTTTGCTCAGTCATTCATATAACTAAAGGTATTCCTCATTTTGATCACATCTAAGTTATTTACGTCAGTATTTATATTTAATAGCTATCAATGAGTTTTTCAGTGTACAATTTCAGTAGTATCAATCATTGAATAAAATCAGTGTATCTTCACCAATTCACCTAATAATGTTTTTGTTCCATTTTTAATGTCATTAATGTTTTGTTGATTCTTGTATCTAAAAAGAGTTAACTTTCTCACAAAAATTATAAGCAGATATTGACATTGTATATTTGATAGTAGCATAAAGCCAGCTTCAAAAGCACCAGAAACTCACATAGACAACTATAAACTGCTGGCCTGCTTTCACTATATAAAACAGAAGTTTGAGGTTTCAAAGAATCAACTTAAATTAAGAACATCCTATTCTCTGGAATAGCTGGTTGAGCAGTCCCTCTCTCATCCCTCCCCTTCTCTATGCAAAGCAAACAGCAAATGTGGAACAACCGTGCCATCTGGTGGCCAGCATAAAGAGCTCAGAAGAGTCTCAAATCCTTTCATTTAGGCTCAACACAAGTATTCAGTACCTTCTAAATGCAAAGCACTCTGAAAATCCACTGAAAAGGATGGGAAAATTAAAAAGGCAGTTCCTCTCCATCCCAAATCCACAATCTAATCTAAGATAAATATACCTCCTTGAAGAAAAAGACAACTGACAAGGGCTCCTAATGCACAAGAGACATTGGGACTATGTTTTTAGCAGTCATACAAATGAAAAAGGCATTTTGTTAAAAGACACAGGACACAATTAAACAAGACACGGGATTCCACTGTGACTGAGGTTGAAATGATTGGACTTGAATGATTAGATGTGAAA